ACATCTGGGAACTGGCCTGCGTGTTGTACGAGCCCGTCTGAGACACGTTCCACTGGACACACAACCTCACAGAACATCAATATCAAACAGGTCACTCTGAGACCACAGCAGAGTAAGGTGAGGGCAAAATCACAAACCCACAAAACACCAAACCTCCCCTCTCACGAAAAGGAGTACCTGCTTTACTTTACCAGTTACAGTTTTATCTCTGCCCTGGTTGGCCGTCCCTATAGATGAACCATTGAGACTCTCAATCATAGAATTGTCTCCATTTTCTGATAGCATCCAATCTAGAGGGGAAGCCCCACTTTCTTAGAATCTCCCCCAAGTTACCCAACCAAAGCACACATCCTATCATAGATTCTTTCTAACGTTCTGTTAGTGAGAGAGTTGTGTGGTCTCTCTGGCCAGAATGAGAAATAAATCCAACCTGTTCAATTACAAGGATGTGTTCCTGGTGGATTTTGGCTGGAGATGACTGACATCTTTCTCTTCTCTCAATTTCTGGGTGAATCCTGTTCTTTATCATCACCAGGTTTTCCAGGTTCCAGGGTTCTTTCTCTCTGATTCCTCTTTCTCGTTGTCAGAGATCACCCCATGAGCTGTCTGTCCACTGTCCAGCAGGCCGGCCTCCCTGCTTGGACTTGCGTCCTCCAGCAATACTGACCACACACACTCCCCCCTCCATGCCTTCTTTTCCCGCCACGAGACTTTCTATGACCCCATTCATTCATGACCTCTTCTCTGATACTTTCCCTCTTGTCCTCTGGCAGCACCAACCCCGAAGCATTCCCTCCTGCACTCCCAAAGCACAGCACCGGGCTCTGAGGAGGGGGAGGAGAGGACGGCTAGAGACGTGAACACATTCAGAGGTGTGCGCAGGCTGAGCACTCCATTCCCGTTCAGTGGTATATTGGAAGCCATGGGAAGAAAAAAACCATATGATGTGATGAATATATTAACCAACACCATTGTGGTCATCTTTTCACAATATATATATATATATATGTAATCAAATCATCTGTTTTATACCTTAACTTACACAGTGCTATCTGTCAGTTATATCTCAACAAAGCTGGGGGGAAATATTAATGTCTAAAAGTACCTTCACAGCAACAGCTAGACTTGTGTTTGACCACGACTACCATGGCCTAGCCAGGCTGACACATAACGTAATCATCACAGTTCTTCTCTCCTACTTGAATCCATTATAGGGTGAAGTTTTTAGCCACACCCTCATTCCTGAGGTCACTGGGAAATGGATCAAACTGATGAAAATCCCTCTAGTTTTATGGAAGTAAGTGATGCCTATGTTTCTGATTAGTGAGAAGGGCCATGAATGGGGATAACCAACATATTTATCTTTTGAGCAAAGAGAGTAGGGCTGACTGGAGGCCACCAAGGTTGATACTGTTTTATTGACAGGATTTTTGTATTAGCATTCATCACGATTTCAAGGCTTTTGGTGAGCAGTTTCTCACTGTCTAAATTAACTGAGAGCCCTCAGACTACTGTGATGAATTTGTTTATTCCCTGCTTTTCAGGGCTTTCCAAGGCTTTCTGCATGGCTTTGAGCGAAACTTAACTTTCTGTATCTCAGCTTTCTTATCCCCCGAAAACCTCCCACACCCAGCATTCAGTGATTCTGAACCTAATGGACCCATCCAAAATCCCCCCCCATGATTTTTTAACTCTCTGCTTCTTACAACGTAGGTCCCACCCTCTCTTTTGCAAGTGTCACACTAACCGCCACCAAGGTATCTTGGCTGATGTAATTTTCTTTTCTTCTTTTTTTTTTATCCTCACCCGAGGATATTTTTCCATTTTTTGTACAGATAGAGTGGGAGGGAGAGAGAGGAAGGGAGAGAGAGAGAAACATCGACGTGAAGGGACACATCGAGTGGCTGCCACCCGCATGACCAACCAGGGCCAGGGACAAACTGCAACCGAAGTACGTGCCCTTAGCGGGAACCGAACCCGGGTCTCTCCGGATCGCAGGCCGACGCTCTAACCGCTGATCCAAACTGGCCAGGGCCTGATGTGATTTTCTACAACTTAACTATTCCTCCCACCTCTCACATCTACTTTTTAAATATAACTTGTAATATCTTTAATACACAAAGTTTTATAAATCAATACTAAATAAAGGAACCTCCTGTATAATATGGCTGGCTAAGCAATGTGGACTAATGTAGTTCACAAAAGAGGTTCAAATGATCAATAAACATAAGGCAGTATGTTCAGCATCACTAAGTAAAATAAAGAAATGAAAATAAATGTTAAATGTAAATTTGACTTTCAGAATAGCAAAGATGTTAATAAATAGAAACCCAGGATAAAATTTGGAAGACTCCCATAGGAGACTATATTAGTTTCCCAGGGCTGCAGTAATAACATGCCACAAGTCAGGTGGCTTAAAATAACACAGATTTATTGTCTCACCATTCTGGGAATTAGAGGTTCAAAATCAAGGTGTCAGCAGGGCCACACTCCCCCTGAAAGGTGTAGGGGAGAATCCTTCCATCAATCTTGACGTTCTGGGCTGGGAGCTGAATCCTCCATTCTTTGCCTCTGTCATCACATGGCGTTCTCCCTGTGTGTCTGTGTCTGCTTTTTCCTCTTCTGAGGACACCAGTCGTATTGGAGTAGAGCCCACTCTAATGACCTCATGTTTACTAATTACACCTGCTAAGACCATTTCCAAATAATGTCACAATCACAGGAACTAGGTGTTAGGACTTCAACATATCTTTTTAGGGGACACAATTCAAGCTATAACAATGACCATGAAAGGCTTTAAGGCAAGATACTAACACAGTACAACAAAGAACAAAAGAGAAAAGGGTCATTTCAGTGGAAGCAGCATGGACAGAGAGCGATCAGGAATCAGAAAACGCATTTCATTTTATGCCAAGATGAAATCCAGAAAGGAAGGAAAAGGCCGAGCATCGAACTGGAAGTCAAACTGAGTTGCTTTCAGTGGACACGATTAAGTCTGCTGATAGAAACAGGAAGTGGGGGTTGGAAAGTTAAATTCAATTCTGATCTATGCATAAATGAAAGTTTTGTATTTTCAAACTGCTTGGGTAATAAAAACCCATAGCTATTTAATAGCAGCCAAATGAAAATATAGAATTTATAAACAGGCAGGTCAGAGACCGATACAGCATTGTAGGTATTAGATTAAATCTTATGAAATTGCCAATATTTGATCATTTAATTCACAAAAATGGCAACTTGATATGCATTAACTCAATATACATGGAAGAAGGACTTGCTGACCTCATTCAACAGAATCAGAGGCATTGATTTTACCACAAATATTTTTGGGAAAGCTCAGGACATGTTAAAAAGTCCAAACCTACGTTCCACTCTTTTGAAACGTCTAAGTCTCACAACACAGGTAGAGCATGGCAAGACTTTAGATTTGAACTTGGAAGAATGGAAAGATTGCTTTGTTTGTGTACATTTAGGCCTAAGCCTTGGTTCTGACCCAGGTTTTCCTGCAGCATCCTGATTGGACATTATGAAAAAATTCAAATCCCTTTAAGCCACAAAGTAAACCAAACTGGGGCTCTGAGTCACCATCTGGAGGAAAGCCACTCTGAGAGTCACCAGACCAAGGACTTCTGCATTGGACTTGACCTCAGTGAGAAATGAACTTTGTTTCTGTTGAACCACAGCGACATGGGGTTGTTTGTTACAGCAGCACCACCCACTCACCTTAATGCCTCCTACACTTCAATGTTCTGAATTCCCATCTGTTGCCTCAATTTACCAAGTTCTTTCACTTGGCCCTGCCTTGCAATCTCTGCTCTCTTTACCTAGAACCCCTCCTTCTCCTGTCACTTTTCTACGTGGTAAACTGCCTGGATTCAGGTGAAGTGACATTTGTTCTGAGTCCTCCTCTTACTTCTCCAGGCTGTTTGCTACTCTCTTTCCCACCCTTGCTGTGCTTTGTGCCACAGACTGTCAAATCCTGTTGACACAGTTATCTTCTCAGAAGAATGTGAGCTCTTTAAATGCAAGCACTCCAGCCCTGGCCTGTTTAGCTCAGCAGTTAGAGCATTGGCCTGCAGACCAGAGAGTCCTGGGTTCGGTTCCCGCTAAGGGCACGTACCTCGGTTGCAGTTTGTCCCTGGCCCTGGTTGGGGTCATGTGGGTGGCAACTACTCGATGTGTCCCTCTCACATCGATGTTTCTCTCTCTCTCTCTCTCTTCCTTCCTCTCTCCCTTCCACTCTATCTGAAGATAAATGCAAAAATGTCCTCGGGTGAGGAATAAATAAATAAATAAATAAATAAATAAATAAATAAATAAACGCAAGCACTCCATGTTATTCTTTATGTTCAGAGCACCCAAAATAGTGCTTGGCATATAGCCATCTCTCAGTGCATGAATATTGGATTTGTCTAAATGAATGGGGGCTGTGAGTATTCTCTGATTACACCCCTTAGTCAGCTGACTGGGAGGAGGAGTGCAGTTGGCCTGACCGGGATCAGAGGGCTTGAGTCACTGCAGGTCTGCTCTGCTGGAGCTATGCTATTCTTCTTTTGGTTGTTGTTGTTAATCCTCATCGGAGGATATTTTTCCCATCTGATGGGGGGTAAGAACCCAGGTATGTATGTGCCCTTAACTGGGAATTGAACCACAACCCTATGGTTAGGTTCTCCAACCACTGAGCCATATTGGCCAAGGCTGTGCTATTCTTGAAATCAGAAGAGCACTTCAAGGGAATGTACAAAGTAAAAAAGTAGACCCTTAGAATCTGGTTTTTGCTGCACTATGAAGGCTACAGGAAAATAAAACTTTCCCATTTTCGTAGTGTTTTTAATGGTTGCAGACCATGTTGTGTATGTGCTTAGCTTGAAAGAAGTGGAAAGTTAGGTAACCTTCAGAGTTCAGCCAGAGACTTTTTTTGAGTTCCTTTGCTTTTCTGTAAAATTTGGAAATTTTTTAGAGTACAATAGGGAATTTTTAAAAAAAGCAAGTTCAAATGAAATGAGAAGTGCTTTAATAAGAATGTTTTATTGTCTTTGCCTGAGTTTCTAACATAGCTTATAAAGTGAAAACACTGCTTTAATAAAAATGGAATACTATTGGTTGCATGAAATCCCATTTCTCCTCCTTCAGATCAGCCAAAGAAGGGGTCTCATTCTTTGGGGTTGCTGACAAGGGCTGTGGTGGAGTAAGAGTAGGGGCTGAGCAGAGCAGCAATGGTATACTGGCGTGGGCCAGAGTCATTTGCTGTGAACACCACCTACGAGAGAACACAGACAGCATCCGTTTCTAACAGAGCCCAACAACAAGAGTCATGGACAGACCATTGGAAATCCAGTTCCAAAAAAATAAAGAATGATTTTTATTTTATTATTTTGTTTTTAGGAACAGTTAGAACAAAAGGCAAAAATCCAAATATGCTGGCAAGCGAAATATTGGAGGCTGTGTGGTCCTTAGAACAAGAGTTCTTCTTCTCCACTGCCTATCCGATCAGGTCTCTCTCTCTCTCTCTCTCTCTCACTCTCTTTCTCTCTCTCTCTCTCTTTGCAAATTCACACTGAAAATCATGTGGCCTAGCCTGACTGAGGGAAATCATAGAGAGCCTAAATGCTCTTGTCCATTTTCTTGGTTTTAGAAAAAGGAAGAGAGAATGTAGAAACTGGCATTCAATGACCTGAAGTCTTGAGAACAGTTTCCGCCAATTCCACCGCAGACTTGATAGACCTAGAATGTCAGAGCTGGAAGGGCACCGTCTTCTCATTTGACAGACAAGCACACCAGAGCTCTGAACTAGGTGCTTGCTTCAAGTTCACACAGTGAACGGCCAGACTAGAAGTTAAGGCTCCTGTGTACAAACCCAGAGATTTTTCTCCCATGATTCCTTTGAATTTTCTACCATGAACATCAAGCGCGTTTTTATATATGTAGCAAGCAATGAAACATGGAGTAAAAGCATTATAGGGTTCTATTTACAATATAAGCAGAGTGTGGAAGATCATATTGGAATTCTGAAACACACACATATATGTTGGAGCTCATTTAAGCTTTCTAACTGGGCAAATTGTTGATCAAAGTGTTGTTCCAGTTAGTCATGTACTTCAGACAAATCTAATAGCGCTTCTAAGACTCAGGTGCTGGAATAGTTAAGTGCCTGGACTGAGGCGAATAGGGAAAATTTTGGTTCAGAAGACAGAGGACAATAAGGAGGTGTTTGATTTTACTTATTTTGTATACAGGCCCTGGATTGAGCTTTGTACACATCTTTAATAAGTACATTTTTTTCCCCAAATATGAAAATAGAAAACCTTGATTACTTAGGCACAGGAGAAAAAAAAAAGATCTAATTGAACCATACCAAAAACAAAAGTAGCATCAGGGCAAGAGGAGGTGAGAGTCACTTAAGAATCTCTCTGAAGGAGAAAGGGCATTCCTTAAATGCCAAGTTTCTGAAGTTAAATTTGGAAAACTTATCGACATTGGCCTTCATTCCCATTTAATTCTTCCTAAACAATTGTAAATGGCATAATTTGTGCTCAAAATTTTATAAAATGAAGAGGACAAATACCTCCAAAGAAATCCTCAACTTTTTCTGTCTAATATGGCTACTTGGGTCATTGGCAAAGGAGGGGGTGACTAGTGCTGAAGGATAGCAGTGTTCTAGGAGGTTTTTTATCAGAAGAAGCTGGCAGGAAAGGAACTCGTGGCTGAGCTCACTATGCGCCCACTGGTCACCAAAGTGCGGTCATGCGATTCATGCTTGACTGCTTGCTCTCTCTCATTCCCCATATCCATTCAGGATCCAAGATGGCTCATGGTCCTGCCTAACATGTTCCAAGGACAGAGATGTGTTTTCACTTTTGCATTTCTAGCATGTATCAGAGTGTTCAACACATAGGTTTTTATTTGTAAATGTTTGCTGAATGAAAACCGAAAGTGAAGAGTGGTCTAATGAGTAGGAGCAATGTCATGAGTAGGACAGCCATGAAGCTTCTCAGATATTTTCATCAGGCTGAGATCTAGGGCAGACAAGGGTTTCAGGAGGCTGATCCGGTGCTCTAGGGTAGGCCCTGAGACTCTAGAGACACATGTTTTGTGGTGGATACCATCTAAACCCTACACCTGACCGAGACCAAGCTCCATGTCTTGCTGCCTGGCTGAGACATGCTTCTTGGTAGATGGGGCTACCTTTGTGACTTGTAGGCCCAAAAGTCAAACAAGACCCCACTGTTTCCCTGGCCACACTGTCTACTAAAAAAACCATTTTATGTCTTTCAAAAGTCTCATCCATGAATGACTAAGCCAGAGAGAATGATTCCCTTTCATGCTGAGCTATTTTTTGATGCAATTAGTTGATCTTTAACTCTGAACAACATGTGTGGATTCTATTTCCATGACAGCCATCTGTTTTAAATGACTTAAGGAATTACAGACAAGGAGGAAGCAGAGAGATTGGGCCCTTGCATAACTTTGAGGTTCTTAGTACCTCAGAAGTAGAGGAATAGCATGTGCACCAAGGGTTATACATATGGTATTATTATTATTGGTTTGGATTCTCAGGAAGAAATCTGAGGCACTCCTGAGTCTAAATTCAGCCTGGGCCCTGTTGGTAAACAGTGCTGTTTCTCCCCTTACTATCCCTGTGACCTTTGACAAGTTAATTAACTTTCCTGAGCCTTGTTTTCTTCATCTCTGCAATGGGCATAAAAATAGGACTGACTCCAGTGGGTTGTTTATGAAGATTAGATAGGTTAAATATAGAAAATACAACAGTGTCTGGCATGTGATATATGCTTGATAAATGTTATCTATTGTGTTTCTACTATTATTCAGTGTCTCTTTATGCATTGCCCCAAAACTCTTATCCAAAGCTCTGTGTGTTTTGGAATGAAGAATTTTTCAGAGAAGTAAAATAATACATTTATCTTTTTTTAAAAAATTCTCATCCAAGGATATTTTTCCATTTGTTTTTAGATAGTGTGGGAGGGAGTGAGAGAGACATTGATTTGAGAGAGACACATCAATTGGTTGCCCCCTGCATGACCTCACCCCAGGCTGGGGACCAAACCACAACCAAGGTACATGCCCTTGACCAGAATTGAACCCGTGACTCTTTGGTCCATGGGCCGACACTCTAACCGCTGAGCCAAACTGACCAGGACAATACATGTATTTTTTATTATATAACACCCTACATGGGTCTGGAGGGCTGCCTAATAATTCAACATATTAATATTTCTTCAACAAACAAATATTCATATTCAGTAGAATAAAGACTATAAAGAGTATCATGTAAGTTCAGGACATGAGTTTACTTAATGAGTTTTCACAAAACTCAGTGAGAAAGTTTGCTTTTCAGAGTTTTGTGGGTTTCTGATTGTAGAAATGAGAAAGGGAACCTGTGCCAGTTCAATGACTTTTTTAATGATATGCAGTTCCATGGTACACAGCGCAAAATGTGCATTTCCTGGGATTAAAAACAACAAAGAAATAAAAAACAACTCAGTCTATACACTCACCTCTGCATATTCGTGGAAGGGGGAAATGCCAAGTGCCTTCCAGTAGGATTTGCTGTCTAATTCCACTCTGTATATCCCTTCTACAAACTTTTCGTTAGTTGTGAGCCCATGGAGCTCTCCAAATTCACTGGTTTTCCTGAAAGGTGCAAAGGTTCAGGTAAGTTAGGTATTAAGGGCAAGGTTACACACACACACACATACACGAGCAGTTTGTGTATGCGAATATATATTTTCTCAACCAGGTCAGGATAGAGAAAATTCTACTCAATGTCTGAAAGTAACTGACAAGAAATTTGTCAGAAATGTTTCTAAGAGCACATTGTAAGTATTTTTCTCTTAGGAGAACAAAATAGAGGTATAATGTTTCACCTCAAAAAATGTCATCACAATTCAGGGTTAGTGTTTGGGTAAGGCTTCATAACAACCCCTAGAAGTGGCCCTAAGTCACTCTGACTCCTGTTCTTCATGACACAAGGGTCTCCCTCATGATGTGAGGGTAACTTTCAGAGGTAGCATTGCTTGTATACACAGTAGGAACCCAAAATACAGTGAGGAACCCATCTCTGACTCTTCTATTTTTTATATATTTAATTTCTTTGTTAGCCCTTTGGCAATACCAGGCAATTCCTTTTTAAGTTTCTTTTTTAATTAGGCAACTTCTATTTCCGTATAAATACCAACTTAATAGCCATTGTTTGAAATCACTCTCCATCCGACTGCAGAAACTAAGACAGATAAAAAGGAAGCTATCTTTATTGAATCTAAACATTGCCCTTCTAGCTTTCTTTTTTATTTTCCAAGAAGTAAATACTTAATTTCTTTTCTTTTCTTTTTTTCGTCTTGTCATAAGAAAAGAAGATCACACAGACATCCGGATATTTTTGGTGTCCATTCTATCTCTTACTTGGAACATTCTCTTAACTACTTTTCACACTGTGCTTGGCATTTTTATAAATGTAAATGAATAAAGAAATAAAAACTCAATTGGAACCATACCAAAGAAAATAGTCTTGCTAATGATGGGTGAAGAATCATAATGTGGTCCTTGAGATTCAATGAAAACCCACAGAAACTTTTCTCCCAGGAGAATGAAACACTTAGCAGTATTACTTTCTGCTCAGGGTCCCATTCTTTAAATTACTTGGTTTAGGTTCACTAACATGCATTTGCTTTGAAATTCTCTCCACTGGAGTTGGAAAAACTCCCTAAAAATTGTAAAGTGGTAATGAAGGTGAGAAGTCATTTTTGCACCTGATAGTTGGATGATCTCGAGATTGGTCTGTGACTGTGCTTTGCATTATGGGTGTTTTCTCTTCTTTCCTTGTGGAGCAGGACAGCCCCAGCCTTGCAGAATATGTGCTCCTTGCTAGACGAAGGCCCTGCACTCTAGATGATCCAGACAAACTACAGACAGCTGCCTGGTCGATGCTGCCCTTCATTCCTTTCTTCATTAATGAATGAACTCAAAATGTATGTCTTCCCTAAAATTCCAGGACAAGGAGTCAGCTTGAGTGTTAGGCCAGGGCACAAGGACACTCCTGAAATTCCATATGCATTTTTGTATGTGTATGTATATGTGTAGTTTTCTGGGCACTGAGTCCAAAGTTTTCATCACCTTCTTAAAATGGTCTGTGACCCAGAAGGGTGGTGAACCACTGCTGGAGTAGAGGAGGTTCCGGCTCCTCCTCCTCCCCACAGTCTGCCCTAAGTGCTGCTCGGATTCCTCGTCACTCCCAGCTAAGCAAAGCAAGAGGACGGCATCCTTCTCAGGGCCCACTCAACCTCTGCCTGAATTTTCAATCTCTTTATAGGTTTTTACGTGAATGATGTGAGCTTTCTCTCCAACACATAGCAGGCAAATGGGAAGATAAAACAAAGACCCACATCTGGATTTATGGACAGCTTACCCAGAGGCGAATGGCTCCCAGGTCCCATCAGCAGCCTTTTTGAACACATTCACAGCCACATTGACAGCAGGGCTGCCTCGGACGGCATCTAGGACCTTGACCATCAGAGGACACTTGGATTCACCAGTGCCCTGGGCATGGAGAGGACAGTGAGATATCAACAAAACTGGTCAGAGTGAAAGGATCTGTTCTTCATGGTGTTGGAAATCTGGAACAAGGCGGGCAGTACATGCCAATCCCATTTCCAACAACACAAGTGTTGACAGTTAATGAGCTTCCCTTACTCAGTATAACACAGACATGATTGTTTCCAAAGCAAGAATGGTTTCTGCCTCTAGACCCACTGCAATCAAAGGGGGACATGTTTAATATATTTTAGGGGAGCAAATAGGTCCTCTGAGAACAGTTGCTTTGTTAAGCTCCGTCATTTGAATGGAATTACTGAAAAGATGCAATGTGCCATCAAACCAAGTCATTTTTTTCTGAGAGCATTTTAGTTAGTTGTTGCTGCAGTAAATTCCTCTTGCTAGTTGTTGTAGATTAATATCAGGCTCCCTCATGACCCATTTGATAGTATTAGGTCATTCTTCTAAAGGACTTAAGAATGAGGCATCTGACTAGAACGTTGTCTGCCAAACCTTTCAAAGGTTAATCACTAAATACATTTTGATTAGCTAAAGAGAAATAAACTGTATAAGAGGATGTGTTTCTAAAAATTCAATATTAATAGTTTCATGAATGCCCAACTTTTATTTCTACCATCTACCTGGGGAAACTGAGGCACCAGGCATCGCAGCCTCGAACTAGAGCAGTAGAGGAGAGTGCCCAGAATCCAAGCCCCAGTTCAGTGAGCTCTGCAGAATTTTATTCTTTTTTGAGTTTGAATCAATAATGTTTAAAAATAGATGCTGGGTACCATTGCCCTAGTAACAAAAGCTGGTTGGCAAAGCTGGAGGAAGTCACTTCTATTTCACCTAGGGTACATAGGAAAGGAAAGAAAGGGACTTCATAGATTCAAACACTCACCACAGGGCCAGCCTCAGACACAAATACCAGTCCAGCCAGGCAGAGGAGCAGTAGATGAAGAGAAGCCATCCCGCCAAGAACCAGTGGGCTCTATGATGGTTGCTCCAAGCTTGGGGCTTTTATATTCACTTCTCCCAAGCCAGGCTACTGATCCCTGCCAACCTGACTCCAAACCTGCTGATTCTGATTATTTACTTAGTCAACAAAGGGAGAATAAGTAACCCACTCAAATATGAACCTTGCCTAGACAGATTAGCGTGCCAGAACATTAGCACTATGGAATATTCTTAACAGGTCATTTGACCAAAACAAAACAAAAATATTCTGCTCCCTCCCTGGCTGAATGCAATGACATTCTTGGGATTTTTTTTTCTCCTTTACCTATTTCTATGTTTTGTCTTCCATTTTAGATGATAGATGCAAGTTGTATTAATTTATTTCAGAGTGAACGACATTTGCTGCACAGGCTTAAATATAGTGCATTAGAAAACATCACCGTACTTGGTGTATGTCCACCAGTCAGCCAGGAAAAAATCCTTGGCTGTGCTTACATTGTAAAACTCTATGTTTTAGCCAAATTAAGATATTTGGAAGTTTCTGTAGTCAGCAGTTTCTCCACAATTTTGTTGTTCTTCCCAGACAAGGTTCATGTCAACCCAAAGACTAATGGCACATTTCAAACTGGCACTGATGAACCTGAAATACAGAGAACCATCACAGCTTCTCCTGCATCGAATGTGCAGAGACAAGGTTACCCAGTTGGCATCTCTGAGAGTCAAAATTTCTGGCAGGAAGTAGAGATAACTGGGAGAAGTAGAAGCCACAGTCAACAATAGATTCTCTCCCTCCTGGCCAACTTAAAAGTCCAAGCAGTGCAATGATTTTCTCATGCATTGATTAAGTACCAACTCTTGTGTGTATGTGTATGTGTATACACATATGTGACTTTGTTCATGGGTTCATTAAGACAGATTTTGACCATATAGAGACAGACGTGTAGAAGACATAGAGAAGATAGACACAATTTTGGACAAATCCATGATAAGGGTGAGTCCATTTTGGAGCACCAAGAGTTGGAGGAGCATTCTTATAGCCAACAGAGTTAGATTGGAATAAACTCAACAAGAGATCAGGATGGAAAAGGAGTGTTGGAAGGTTCAGGAAGGCCTTCAGGAATAGGGAAATGTGCAGGAGAAGACTTGGGGAGAGTGGGTTGACCACAGAGAGGCAACAATGAGCAGGTTCAGTTTTGAGCAGAGACAGGGCTGGGATCTCATAGCCTTGGAGACTGAGGAAGTACTAGAAAGAGTTCTGAATCTGGAGTTAGATGACCTGAGTCATCCAATTCCTAGTTCTGCTGCCCAGTTTCCCAGATGAACTTCTCTGAGTTATTTCATAATCAGACACTCAGCTTATTCACTGGTAAAATAGAAATACCTAACTTTTCTATTTTTAATATGATTTGACATAAAAACTCTTTGTAAATTGTAAACTACTTTTATGGTATAAAGTATAATTATAATATAATCTGGTTCAACATCTCTGCTAAGGAGAAAGTCCTTTCTCTAACATCTCTCATACATTGTCTTCCAATATTTGCTCGACTTTATTTCATTGCTCAGAACTTGGATGCAAAGCTTTTTTTTTTTTGAACTCCAAACATTTGCAAATTCCCTCATATCTCAAATAAGTCTTCCATGCATGCATCTTAATGTTACATTCTGTTCAAACCTAGAAATGTCGTAGACACTCTTAACTGGCCATCCTGGGTGGCCAACCATCCATAGATATGTTATGTTCGGTCTGTGGAACGTTTCTTTAAAAGTTTTGAAACAGTTGTTAAAATTAAATATTGAGACACACTGCATACCAATTTGGATTTCTGGCTTCTCTTGAGAAATCAGAAAAGATGGAAGCACTAGACCCATATTCACACATGTTGATGACCATTGGACTCTCACTCTCAGATGGTACACCTCGGTAGGCCTCCCTTCCAACTCTGAGGCCCGGGAACATTTCCAGTGGCACCATCATACTCAAGCTCTTTTTGTTTGTTTGTTTGTATTTTGTTACAAGTCCTATTCCTCTCATCTGTGTTCTTGCTTGGCTTGTTGGAAATTTGAGTTTGCTCCTGATGATCTTCTTGGGGCCATTTAAGCAATGAGTAACAGCTTAATTTGTTTTTGCCAAAAAGAGATTTTTATGTCTTTGAAAAAGTCCTCTTTCTTTTTTTTTTAAATTCACCCATTATTATCCCAGTTCTAAAATTTTCTGGGTTGTGAATTTCAGAGAGCAAGAGTCTCTGCCATCATTTACTTATTCTTTTAAAATATAATTTAAAAAAATTCTATTCGCCACATCCCTCCCCTCTGGCAACCATCAGCTCATTCCCCATATCTATGTATCTATGTGTCTGTTTCCATTTTGTTTTGTTTATTCTTCTTCTCTTTTTTTTTAAGATTCCACATAAAAATGAAATCATACAGCATTTGAATGATTCCTCTTCAGACATGGTTCCTGGAATTCTTACCACCTGGAACTTCCTCCTCATATACCCGCATTGGTCAACATTTCTCTTCAAATGAGATGTTCTGAATGGGACAGTTTCTCCAGATGGAACCAGGCCCGCACAGAGGGTACTGAGATGTATGTCTCTTGCCAAAGGGACTCAACTGCAAGTGATGCACCCTGAGTGCCTCTGTAACTGCAGTAGCTATCACCCCTCCCCCACTAGATCATAACTCTACCTGTTGTGACCTTGGTCACAATGATATACAATTACCATATTATCCATCACCCTGTAATTTTATCATTTATAAATATTATTTTATTTTTTCAGCTTTATAACTGACAAATAAAATTGTAAGATTTGATATATATATGTATATAATGTACACACACACACACACAGTGAAAAGATTCCCATATCTAGTTAATTAACACATCCATCACCTCACATATTTATCTTGGTATGTGTAAGAATTTTAAGTTATAGTCTTAGCAAATTTCAATGATATATATAATACAGTGTTATCAGCTATAGTCATGTTTTACATTAGGTTCTCAGAATTTATTCAACTTTTGGCTGAAAGTTTGTACCCATTTACCAACCTCTCCCTATTTCTCCCACTCACTAGTCCCTGGAAACCACTTTCTAAATTTCTGTTTCTATAATTTTTTTTCCTTTTCTTTTAAAGATTTTATATATAAGTGATACCATGAAATATTTGTTTTTTTCTTAGCATAATGCCTTCAGGGTCCATTCATGTTGCCACAAATGGCATGGTTTCCTTCTTTCTCATGGCTGAATAATATTCCATTGCATATAATATATAAATATATATAAATCACCTCTTAGTTATCCATTCATTTGTTGATGAATACATAGGTTTCCCCCCACCACCTGTATCTTGACTACTATGAATAATGCTGCAATGAACTTGGGAGTACAGATATCTTTTTATTATCTTGTTTTACATTCCTGTGGGTAAATACCCAGAAGTGGGATTGCTGGATCACATGGTAGTACTATTTTTAATAAAAAAAATCTTCATACTGTTTTTCATAATGGCAGCACCAATTTACATTCCCACCAACAGTGTGTGAGAGTTCCCTTCTCCTCACATCCTCACCAACATTTATTTCTTTTCTTCTTGAAAACAGCCATCGTAACAAGTAAGAGGTGATATCTCACTGTGGTTATTCACCATTTATGAATTTTAACTTAAATATGGGAACATTGTTAGTTCCACCCCACCACTCTATCCTATTGACATCAGTTCATAGTTGATTCTGTAATTGACTTCATTAGCATGCCTTCCAAGCCTCCAGCCTTTGGCTGCTTTGACTTGCTTGATTTCTGAACTGTCATTGATCTGGAAATCATGAATAAAATTTGAATTTGCACAAGAAAAGGAGTTGGAAGGAAAGTGAGGTAATTCAGAGTACAGGGAGCATATCAAATCTGATTGTTGAGTTACTGATAAACTTACAGAGAGAAGTATTCTATTTAACAGAAAAGAAAAGAAAATTTTGGCAGAGACTTAACAATCAAATACATAGTTTGAAATAAAGGTAGGTGCATGTCAGGAAAAGAAGCTGAAAGTGTTTCAGGAAAGAGAAGAGGAAGGCTGACATAGGAAGGAAAAAACAGACAAGGAAGTGGAAATGCATTCTTGGTTAAAGGAATGTTTGAATGGAACAAATGGCAATCACAGGTACAAGAAAAATCTAATGTTTCCTGCCCGAGAGGCAATTTGTGATCAGAGAGGGTCATGTGGATAAACACAGACTCTCAAAGATAAGGGGTTTGCCTTTCTTGTGTCTGAGTTTGTGAAAGCTCATGTAGATGGCTACATGGGATCTGCCAACTGAGGTCCAGGGTCACTACATTCCTGGAATCCTAAGTGGTTGCTGTAGAGACTGCTCAGGAGGGAATATCAGCAACAGTAAGGATCCAGTGCCAGGAAACAGAAGGAGGATCAGTGAAACGTTTACACAATACATTTATGTCCTTTCATCGCCACGTGCTGTTTTCTTTACATTTTGACCAAGAGACTATAGCCTAGATGTTTAATAGAAGTAAAATAGACTAATTTGATGATGACATTCCTCCTCCTCCTACAGAATATGAAGTGGTTAATGAACAGCTCAGGCCTGTTCTTAGTTTAAGGTTCTTCTGCCCTATCCCTTATAATGGACACGCTTATTTATGAACTTTTTAAACCTTATAGATAAACATTTTTTCTTCTTTTATTTTCTGAGGGTGCATGTCAAAGGCTAGCCAGTGATCTGTTCACCTTGAAATGCCCCGTGATATTATTGTGAATAGGCTGATTAGCCAGAATGGAGAGTTGGCTGGCCAAATGCTTGCACTGGGTCTCATGGGGGTTAGAGGATAACAGTATTTTGGGGCCTGAGACCTTTGCAGGTGAAAGAATTTAATTTTGTCAGTGACCCCCTCAAAGTTAATAAGGCCTGGGGATTTGATTAATCGTAAGCTACTCATAAAAGACTCATTTAAAATCATAATACCAATTTAATTAATAGTCAGATGGTTGTGGAGTAAGCAAGAAATTAGAGCAAAGGGACCAGGCTAATTTAAAAATTTT